TATTTTTGCTATTGGTATTTAGATGTAGAACAAGATTATTAATTATAATGTAGTTAAATTTCGTGTAATTTAGAAAAAAACCAATAATTTCATAATAATAGTGAAGATCTACTGTGCTATATGCTGTGCTACAACTGCATCACGCTGCATCATACTGCGCATTACTGTATCACACTGTATCACTGTAATACGAAAACATGTATAAATACAAGTGCTGATAATTAATAAAAATCAAGTTCTCTTAGTTCGATTAAAGTTCTCAAGTTCTCTGATTTATATCTTGAGTTCTTAAGTTTTGATTTTGAGTTTCTTTTGGTTTAATGTCGAGTTTGACATGTTTAATTGATTTATTTTTGGAATTTTAAATACTTTTTGGTTAAGTTTACCTTTTAGTTTAGTTTTGTTATTAGTTTAATCGTATTTTCGTTATCTTTTATCTTGTCAAGAAATATCATTTATCGTCATAAACACCATTTAGTCATAATATTCAAAGTAAACACAGTCACTATTGCCATTTTGAAATACTTTCATACGTAAAAGCTCAAAATGGTAACAATACTAACTATACACAATTGATATTAATACTTTAACTAATCATGATTACAAATTATTCTCATTGATAATTGATTACTAATTATATTTATTGGTAATTGATTATTAATACTCTTATCAATTAGCATTGATTATAATTGCAATCAATTCTCATTAATAATCAATTAGCTACCTGTAATTGATTATTAATATTCTTACTAATTAGCATTAATTGTAATTGCAATCAATTGCAAACAAAACTCATTGACAATCAATTGCTAACCATTCTTATTGACAATCAATCATCAACATATCATTATTTTCCATCACTAGTGATTGCAATCGATTGCTAATGATGTTCTTTGATGATATTTGATTTTAATTAATTGTCAGCAATTATAATTAATTATAATTGCTGACAATTAATTGAAATTCCTATTGATAATAAATAATGAGAGTGTTGATAATTGATAAATCAATTGCTAACAAATATAGAAATTTCCTAATGTATAAAGAAGATGTAATTATAAAGGAATTTTTTTATTATATTTATATATAAATGGAAAAGCAAAATAGAATAACTATAGAAGAATGTGACTATAAATAGATATGGTTATAAAGAGGTTTGACTGTACTCTTACTTTAACTTTATCTTTCTGATAAGAATATAATTTTTTATTCTTTGAAGATATTATTGTCAGAGAAATTCTTAACTACTTCTTTTTTGTGATCTCTTATTGCACAAAATTATCCATTATCTTTGGTTGTTGAAGACTCAATCAAACAAAAAAAACAGCTTGCTAGAAAAAATTTTGGTTGGCTTTTTATATTTCAAGCTTCGGATAACGTACCAAAAATAAATGAGTAACGTTTTTCTAAGAAAAATAGTAAAAAATTGGTTTTGGAACCTTCGAAGAATGATGCTTGAATAAGAGCACGGTGATTTACTGCGGTATTATCAAGTCATTGGCATCCAAAATTCAAAATTTCTTTGAAGAACAAAGGAAAATGCAGAAAAGCCTCATAATATTGTATTCTAAATTATAACAATAATTATACATAATTAGGAAAGAGAAACGGATCAATGGTATGCAATAGACGCGCGTTGATCGTATAACTAGTATAACGTAAACATTGTAAAAATGTTGAAATGAGTTTACGCTAAATGAAGTTATTTTATTCTTGTAAAAGAAATACTGATATATACTAAGCAAATCGATGCCAAGCTCTAGGCGAAAAGAAAAGCTTATGGATTCCCAAGAATCCGCCATAAAATTTTGTCAAGATTAACTTGGCATAAAAAAATCTCATACATAAAACTTGGCCCAAAAAGTATAAGAGTATGGAAAGTCGCGTAAAAAGAAACGTCATTTTTTGATAAAAGGAATATCATTTAATCCGAAAAAACGACTTATTTATCAATTATTTTATCTATATACAATTTTGTGTTACGAAATTCGAGAAATAAATAAATACCCTTAAGAATTTTCAATTACTCGTCTTAAAAATGAATGTTATTCAATTGACAAAGAAATATCCTCAGTTCTCACAACAAGACATATTTGACCTTATTGCGCAATTCAAGTAATTTCAATTATTATTAATGTGGTCTTTAAGTTTCATTGAGAATTAATGAATTTTTGAATTTTAGTAAAGTTGATTTGGAAGGTGTAGGCTCTATTGAACAAAAAGATGCACTTAAAGCAGTACAAGATATGGGAGAACGTGCCTCGTATGATGAAATACGGGCTACACTAAAAGAAGTCGATTTGAGTTCTACAGGAAAAGTAGAAATAGAAGAGTTTGTCGAGGTAAGTTAGTAAAATCTATTTTAATCCGTTTAGATTTCAAAGCTTGATTTCTTTATTCACTTTATTTAGTTAATTTCAAAACTTCGGGAAGGAAGGCATAAATCAGCGTTTGCTGTCAATAAAAACAAAATTACTGTGCACGGATCAAGTACAAACGTCTCGCACACCATTAACGACGACGAAAGGACAGAATTCACACGACACATTAACCAAGCTCTTGCTCATGATCCGAATCTAGCGGATAAAATTCCAATTCCCACACATACCATGCAAATTTTTGATGAATGCAAAGGTAAAAATATTTTAACTATCGAATCATCCCTATATAGAGGTCGGGGTTGCATTAAATATAAATATCCATAATAATAAAAAATGGTGTGGTGGGGTGGGGGAAGGGTGGTAACTTATTTTTAGATATACGATAAATTAAAAAACTTGAATTATTAATTAGACGGTTTAATCTTGGCCAAACTCATCAATGATTCTGTTCCGGATACAATCGATGAGCGTGTACTTAACCTACCAGTTCGTGGTAAAAAAGTCAACAAATTTCAAATGACCGAGAATAACAACCTCGTGATTTTCTCTGCAAAAGGAATTGGGTGTAGTGTGGTCAATATTGGATCTCAGGATTTAATTGAGGGTCGAGAACATTTGATTCTTGGACTTATTTGGCAAATTATAAAGATTGGATTATTGAACAAGATTGATATTAAATTACATCCGGAATTGTATCGTTTATTGGAAGAGGATGAAACGCTTGAGCAGTTTTTAAAATTGCCACCTGATCAGATATTGCTTCGTTGGTTTAATTATCACCTGAAAGCTGCTAAATGGCAACGCCGGTATTTATTCATTTATTGTCAAAATTATTATTATTTCATTTCAATTAGATTCAATTGAATTAATTAATCGTCTTTTCATAATAGAGTTGGTAACTTTAGTAAAGACGTGTGCGATGGTGAAAACTACACAGTCTTACTTAATCAACTCGCCCCCGAACTTTGTTCACGCGATCCATTAAGAGAACAAAATTTATTGGAACGTGCCGAAAAGGTAAATACTTTAGAATCACTGGCATATTTTATAATTATTATTCTAATACCTTCATTTACGTTTTGATAATAGGTTCTTCAAAATGCAGAGAAATTAGAATGTCGAAAATATCTTACACCAAAAGCACTTGTTGCTGGCAATCCTAAATTAAACTTGGCATTCGTTGCCCACTTATTCAACACTCATCCTGGTCTTGCGCCTCTTGAAGAAGAAGAAAAGGCTGAAATTGAAGAATTTGACGATAGCGATGATCGAGAAGCAAGAGGTGAATAATTTATCCATACTGTCACTTCATAGAATAATTAATCATCTAATAAATTTCTCTCTTTCAGTCTTTGCTTTATGGTTAAATAGCTTAGACGTTGACCCAGGTGTTAATAATTTATATGAAGATGTTCAAGATGGACTCGTTTTACTCCAAGCATTCGATAAAATACGTCCAGGAGTCGTAGACTGGAAGAAAGTAAACAAAAAAGTTCCCCTATCACGTTTCAAGCAAGTAGAAAACACAAATTACAGTATACTGCTTGGACAATCACTAGGATTCACCCTCGTCAATATTCAAGGTGCCGACATATGTGACGGCACGAAAACTCTAATTCTCGGTCTTGTCTGGCAAATGATGCGTCAGAATATTATTCAGACATTAATGAGCCTATCGAAAGGAGGTCGCGAGCTCACCGATCAAGATTTAATAAATTGGGCCAATGATGTCGTGAAGCGTGGCGGAAAGACAACGCGAATGCGTAGTTTCAAGGATGAGTCATTACGAAATGGGATTTTCTTTATTGATTTATTAAATAGTATTAGGCCTGGCGTGGTTGATTATAGTTTGGTGACTCGAGGGATTTCCGGTAATTTGATTTATGATTCGAGTTATTTGATGTTTTGATAATTATTATGATCATTATTAACTTTGTATTGTCTTTTTAATGTAATTATAGAGGAAGATGCACAACTCAATGCAAGATATGCAATTTCAATTGCACGAAAGATTGGAACTACCATTTTCTTATTACCTGAAGATATTGTAGAGGTTAGACCTCGACTGGTAGGTTTTTTAATCCGATTATTATATTCATGATTATGTCTATGTCAATACTAATTCTTATTGCGTTTTATTCTTATAGATACTCACTTTCATTGGCAGTCTAATGACTGTTGCTCAACAAAGTGGTGGACAATAATAAATATAATGTCTTGATGTACCTAGTCCACCGATATGGTGATATTGTTTAGCCTTTCTTACTTTCTATTTACTATCAAAAAAATGCTCTGTAAAGAATTTTTCTTAATAAGTTATCAGTACCATATGTTCTGTATAAACAACGTATATATTATTGCTCAAAATAAATGTCCTTGACCATATCACAACAATAATGATGAAATCAAGTTTCAAAAACCTAACCCAAATTAATTTTATTTTTAAAGATTCGAAAAAAAAAAATTAATTCTAAGAGTGATCATTGTTAATAATAATTATTATTAATTGTATTTCAAAATTTTTATTCGACAGTATATAAAAATAATTATTGTTCAAAAGGAGTGGGGAGAAAATGTATCAAAGGGTGAGAGAGTGTGTGTGTTGTGTATACGTGCGTCTTTTTTATCATCTGTATGATGCGTGTATGCGATTCATATATATAAATATATATGCGTGTAAAAATCAAAAGATTGAAAAATTTAAAAATTTATATAAAATAATTTAATTCATCTGAATTATAGGAGGTGACGCAGGAGTCATTATACGAGTTGATGCAATCGTTATACCCTCAAATAATGCAAGAATGAGCCCACCAAGTGCTGCTGATTTGGCTGAAGCGGCAAGACCACCTAATCAAAAAAAATATTAATTACATATAAAAACTGGAAATATAACAAATAAATCGAATCAAACATTAAGAATAGCAACCTCTTGCTGCAAGAACTCCACCCGTCAAAAATCCACTTGCAATCACATTCCATGGATCTTCTTTCTGTCGTATACTTTTAAATGCACAATCAAACGTCGAGAATAGACCACCCCATACCGCAAAATTGCCTCCTAGGACAGGCGCCCGTGCTTTTACAGCTGTGACTGCACCAATTATCCGTTCTCCCTAATGACAATGTTATTGGTTCATGAATTAATATTTTTAGAAATTATTTCGGGAAACCTAAACGAGCTATCTGTCAATCGATCGATTAAAAAAAATTTTACTTACTCTCGGAGAATTTTTTGCTCCTTTTACCATGTGCCATATTCCGCCACCAATTGCTCCCATAGCAAACGCTGCACCTGTGTCATTTAAAATTACATATGGACTGAAGAAAGTTGTAAAATCACCAGTATATATGTGAAATTATAAAGAAAAAACTTGAAATAAAACAGATTGAACAGTTTTTGAACAACGATATGTGTTATATTTAATTTATAATTCGTATAGAGAAATGAATTGGATATTTACCATGGATCTCTTGCAAAATCACCGTACCGCGACATTATGTTAGACTATATTTTACGGTTTCTTTGTAAAATGCTGGTTTTATATACGGGCAAGCAAAGCGCGACAAAAGTTTTTCGAATTAGGCAGTATGTAGATAAATGATGAACAATCCACCAATACGATGCGCACTCGTGCAACGTTACAATAAAAAATTATAAATAGAGAATAGCGATAGGAAGTTTTCTACAAATCATCCGCGTGCTCGAACTTTTTCTTTCTAACTGTAACTTTTCAAAAGTATTGCTTCCGAAATTTTCAGGTCTTTTCTTTTAAATAGGTACCTTATGAGCCATTGAATTTTTCACGTATCTATAGGCACTATTTTCTGCTCAACATTATTCCTTCTTATAAATCTAGCATTACCTTCCTCCTTTACAAATCGCTTTCAGACTCTTCTCCGCATGGAACAACAAAAACTTCTTTACGACCCGGCTAATCTCATTTGGAATCCTCTCCACACGATAAACGAGCAACATCAATATTGTTATTGCGGGAAGGACCGCAGCTTGATGGAACTCGCTCTACAATGTAAAGGTAATTTGACCAATAATTAAATCTTTTTACCCGATTCTCTTGTTAAATTGATGCATGTATTTTGTCTTAGTAATTCTACGCTCTTTAATCTTACGATCGGCATTTAGATTGTCGGAATTGGTTTCATGCAAGTTGCCTTGATATTTCCTTGGGTCCAGTTATGACGTTTATCACTAATTACAAATTTCAATGCAAGAATTGTAACGAAAATGGCAAAGAAATTTTCAAGGTAGAAAATTCGATAATTTTGTAATTTTGGCTGCAATTTTATAAAGTACTAAAATTTTATAATTTATTAACACACAAAAAAAAATACAAAATTCTAGCGCACAACAGCCGGCTGGAAAGAAATTGTCGGTTCTTCTATAGCCAATTTAATACTCCAAAACCACATGCAAGAGTATGTGGCAACTAGTGGTGATAAACGGTACTTTTCCGCAAACGTGCAAAACATTAAGCCATTCACCTACTACTTCAATAAAAAAGACCACATAATTCCGTTCGTCGACAAAAATTGGTCAATTTTGTGCACAGAACGTTCCAGAACGCCAACTTGGTTTGTAAATTCACATATACTTCCGAAAATGTTTTTTAGCACAATATTTTAAAAACAGGTTTTCGTGGGAAAAAATTATATTATAGGTGGGCTACACTAGGCTCCTGTCTTTATACTAACAAAGATACATTTGCAGCTAGAGATGAGAAAAATCGATCTGCTGCTTCTGATTTTTGTCTTATAAACCCCAATTTGTGGGATATTCGTTCAGAATCTTTTACGGTACCCTGTAATTTTGTTACTACTCGTTTTTATACACGTTTTTATACACGTTTTGTTAATATCAATATTAATTGGCGCAAACAACTATTCTATTTATAATTATTTCTATTATCATCATTATCATTATTAAATATAATTATTATATGTTTATTTATTATAAATTTAGGGTCATAAAACGAATATCGGCGGACACATGTCTAGAATTTCAAGAGACTTTTCAAGTAATTCTAATCTAAGAAAGGATCCAAATGACGTTACGACTACACAAAAATTTACATTCACAAAAAGTAAAACTACTGGATATCGGACCGCAAAACGAAGCCAAAATCCGTTATTAACTCCCGTGAAAATTTCAACACCCGACAATAACAATAACAACAATGTCGGTATCGGCAACAATAACAACCACCATAATAATTCTGCCGCCGCGTTTGTACAGTCTGGTGAACAGCGTAATCTTCGAAACGGATTTAGATATATACCATGTCAAAAAGATGATTTGTTTCCTATTATCGGGTACCGTAATTCGGAACAGTTCCCCTATGGAGTAAGATTAAGCAAAGAGGATGCAAGTTTATCTGTTTATATAAGTGCGGACCAATTGACGGCAACTACCGAAAAAGGATTTCGGATGGCTAGAGCCAATTGTAGTGTACGTGAAGGAAAATGGTTTTACGAGGTTTATGTAGTTCGAGGTGGCGAAGGTCAGATAAGAGGAAAGGATGGTGCTCATGTAAGAATAGGATGGGCTAGACGTGAGGGTAGGTGGCGATTTTTCAATCACGTGAAGATTTTTGCAAATTAATGGCATGCTCTATAAGAAAATATATTACTTTTAATTTCTTTAACATTTAAGGTAACAGAAATGCTCCTGTTGGATTCGATGGATATAGTTATGGTATTAGAGATCTCACTGGACAAAAGGTGCATCAATCACGCCCAAAAAGTTTTGGCGAGCCATTCAAAACAGGCGACACTATTGGGTTATTCATTTCTCTTCCACCATTGGAAAAAGTTTATCCTGACTATAAAGTAAAATCCGCAAAACGCCATAGAACCGCAATCACACTAAAAGGTTCTCCCGCATTCGAATATAAAGACTATAAACCGACAAAGCAAATGGACGATTTACTTAATCCACCAATAAAAAAGAAGTTTGAATCTTCATCCTCCTCATCAAATCGTAATGATCAAAAAGAAATTTCTCAAAAAGAAACACAATCTCCACCTTCTTCATCGTCGTCGTCGTCATCATCATCATCAATACCAATTTTACCCGGATCACAAATAATTATATACAAGAATGGAGTGTGTCAAGGTGTTGCTTTCGAGGATCTGTATTCTTTTTTACCTTGTCCTGACGAATTCACTAGAAAAGATGAATTGACTGATGACGATGGAACTCTTGGCTATTATCCGGCAATATCAATGTATGGTGGTGGGACATGTACGGTAAATTTTGGCCCTTACTTTCGATATCCGCCACCCGCTGATCCCGAGGCTGAAATTAAACTTCCGCCTACACCTTCTTCCACACCTCCTTCGCCAGTTGTAGCTACTTCAGCAGCACCAACAGTGACAGTAGCAAAAGAAACTCGCACATGGAGACCAATGTCTGCACGATATAAAGAGTTTATCGCTGAAGATATTGTCTATGATGTCATTGACGAAATTGAAAGTTGGGCTAGATGGTTAGGATATGAACGTGTAGATACTAAAAAATCATTAACAGCTGCTACCACCACCGATCGAAAGAAAAAACGAAAAATCGTAAAAGAGAGTAATCTCGATGAAGATTAAAGAGATAAAAGATTATTCGAGAGAACAAAGAAGTATTCTAGCATTAACAGTTGGATTGTGAACCAACAACAACATGAATCGGAGAATTTGTATATGCGACTTGTAGCTTGAAATTTAAAAATTAAATGATTTACGATTGATATTGATGTGAGAGTATAATTAATTTACTGATCCAGCGAATATTTTTAACGCAGTCACCAGGAGCAACACACAATCAATCAGAACACGCTCTTACCAAAAAAGTTATTTTTTGTTTAATTGGATTAATTTGAAAGCAGAACAATTCTTTGGCCAAATGGTGAGGGAGCTGAATATTCTTCAACGTACTGTGTTGGCTTTTAGCACTTTTCAGCAGAGTTTTTTATTCTTGTTGTCTTATTACCATTTTTGCAAATAATTTCGAGAAAAAAGTTCGAGTTACGTGATCGATCGATTTAAGGTAGATCATATCGATATACAGAAAAAGACTCATTCCATCATCAAATTTGGCGTAGATAATAGTATTATTAATCAGATTCTAACATATACATACATACATATATATATATATATATATATATATATGTATGTATGTATATATAGAAAAGAATTTAGTTCGCCAAAAAAAATTTCTTTACTGTTCGCTAAAATTTCTCTTGTCGAAAGTCGTTCTTTATCTACTTTAATAAATCTTTATTAAAAGTTTTCTCTTCTGTTCAAAGTCTGTTATCTAAAAGAGCAGTTTTTAATAACCAAACATTTTTTATAATTAATAAAAGTAAATATATCATAAAAGTTGTTACAGGTGACGTGCTTTGTGTCGGTGTCGAAGTATATGCTGTTGGTGGTGTCTGTTTGTGGTGTCTGTTTGTGGTGTCTGTAATTTATATCAACGAAAGAATCCTTGATTTTTAACCTCCCCTCTTTCTTTCACGCTCCCGAGTTTGTTTTATGTCCAAAATTTTTTTCGATAATAATTGTGATACTAAATGTCAATTTGAGAAGATGAATCATCTTTTCGAATCAGTATATTATTGGGTCTTTCAATGGACGAAGAACGAAAGAAAGAAAAACGGGACTATTGAATACTTTATATTGGGTTTCTCTTTGATGCTGCAATTTAATAACGAATCTGAGTGTGAGTCTGTGTAACGATAGAATAGATGCCATTAATAATAGTAAGTCTTCAACTTTATATATTTGAAATCGACTACTAAATGTATTTTTAATTTATATTATTATTGTTTTTAGTATAAAATAGAATTCTTTATTCGGATCCGTAATAATTTAGTTCTTATCGATTCATTAAATATAAATATCTTTTATACATAATGTATTCGCTTCTTTAATTTCTTGAGCAGAAGAAATTACAGTTGTACCTTCACCCTGTATAGTCACCCTCTCTATAATCATACTTATCACAACTATTAATGAGAATGATAATATATAGTACCTCCATATAATCACATCCTTAAAAGTGTGACTTTAAAGAGGTTGTGAGTGTATGGAGATCAAATCTCATATCATCGTTATCTTTTCCAGATTTCCAAAAAAAATTTTCACTTTTATGAATGACATATTTCATCTTTATCGAAGAGCTACGCCAATCAATTATCTGTGTGAACGAATATCCTGGTAAGTCTTCTGTTCATAATTATGATATATTTTCATGTGGTCCTGTGATGATTTGTTTATTTTTGTCAGTTTGGAATATCGTGAACGATAAGTGATATCGTCGATTTTTTAATAATTGACGCGTAGGGATAGTATCTTCTTGCATGGGTCACTTATCGCTAATATAAATTTGTTGGACTGAGTATATTGCGTGGGGTGAGTGAATCAGATGAAATGATATAATTTTTATCTATCAAGAAAAAGAAAACAGAAAAGACCATACGATCGTATCCCGAAATAGCAAAACAGAAATAACATTAATCATCATGTTTTGGCTTATCAGAACATCATAAATACAATTTTTTTTAGTATATAATAGCGATTTTTTTTAGTATTATTACTTTTCATAATAGTGATTTTTTAGTAACAACTTACAGTAGTATATTATTTTTTTCTTGAAAAACATGGCGAGAAATTTACAAAAGCGAACACAAACTGAAACTAAAACACGCCGTGGTCGACCGCGGCAACAACCAACAACACGAACTTCGCAACAACAAAAAATATGTCGGGGCCGTGGACGTCCGAGAAAAGGACAACAGCCAGTTCATCCTCCACCACCGCCACAATCACAAACGCAATCAGTTCCTCTTTCATCTCCGTCGCAAACGCAATCAGTTCCTCCTTCATCGCCGTCACAATCGCGACCAGTTCCTCTTTCATCTCCGTCGCAAACGCAATCAGTTCCTCCTTCATCTCCGTCGCAAACGCAATCAGTTCCTCCTCCATC